TGATTGTTCTTTTGCAGGATGTTTTACTGGATAGGCTAAACAGCGCGCTTGTTCAGTGTGGGTTTTGCACAGAGAGTGAGGAGCCCGCCTGTGCTGTTGTTGAGAAGGAAGGAACGCCAGGGGGGGGTCCCGCATGGCAAGGGGCCCCGGGCCCCACCCAAGCCTCCCAGCTCCCGCCCTTACCGCTCCAGCTCCAGCTTCCAGGTCCGATCTGCTTGGTCGCCATTGCAGTCCCATACGATTCCCTCTCTGGACTCACAAACGCGCTATTTTCGGTTATTTTTGTCCAACGATTACTGCGGGGCACGTTCATAGGCAGATTTTGTCGGTAATCTGTTTCTTTTAAAATTCTTTTACGAGACAGGCCGTCTGTCAGCCGTGCGATAAGCCCCAGGCCGCCCACGCACCCGCGCGGAAATAAACCCTCTTGTCCATCGGCGGCCGCGGGGCCGGGCCGGCGGCGGGGAGGGTCGCGGCGGCCGGCGGGTGCCGGCCCGGTGGAGGAGACCCTAGAGCCATGTGCACGTCGTCGCGCCCGGTTTATTTGCGCAACATTTGCCTGCCGAGGCGGCCGCCGCGCCCTTTCCATTCATTCAGGGTCGAGAGACGTGGCGCGGCGTGGCGTGGCGTAGTGTAAGAGAGAGGGGGTTGAGGGAGAGACAGAGAGCGGCAGTGGAGAGACGTGGCGAGCGGGGGAAAGGGGGATGGAGAGAGAGAGAGGCGGAGAGGGGGGGGGGAGAGAGACAGAGACTGAGGGCGAGAGGCGGAGGGAAAGCCGTTGGCCCGTCCCCGTCGTCTGTGCCTCCGCTCCGGACTGCTGCCTTCGGGGTGATTGGCCTTGGCCGTAGGGGTCCACCGCGGGCAAATGGGAGAGAGAGGGAAAGGGAGGGAGGGAGGGAGGGCAGGAAGGAAGGAAGGAAGAGAGGCAGGAGGGGTTAAATGAAAAGAGGAGGTGTTTGAGCCGAACTACTTTGATGTCCGTTCGTCAGAATCCCGAAAAGGGAAGGGCAACTCGCCCACTACTGCGGTAATAAGACCGCCGCCGCTGGAGCTGGAAGCTCTCATGGAGCAGGTAATGAACGACTCCAGCCGGCGGGCTGGGCGGGGCGAACACCATCGAATGTTTAATAATACGCAGATTTTTTTCCCGCGACTTTCAATAAGACGATTCGAGAAGACTGCTGGAGGATGATTCACGCGCGCCGATGGGTGGCCAACAGTCTGCCGTCAGTCTGATGGTCCGCATCAATGTCGTACTTTACCTTTTACTGTATTATGCTTCGCTTTATGGCTGTGGCCAGGTACAACTGGAGAC